TGAATGTAAGCCTAAAACATGCTAGAAACAAAGGCACACAACCTAAGGCATGTTAAGGCATAAACAAGGCATTACATGGCAACTATGCTAAGCATGCATGGAGTACCAAAACCAAGTAAAAACAGAGGCATAACATGACATATTAAGCATAAAAAGAAGCCAAGTCATGGTCAATACACCCTCTAACATGGTGCTCCCTCAAGAGGCCAAAACATGTCCTTTTCAAGGACAATATGGAGAGGGGGTGGCCCTCTCCTTCTTGGGACTTCAAGGCATCATCTTCACCACTGAAATCCCTCAAGATTTCAGTGGTGAAGAGACCCCAACACCAAAATCCCGGAGCTAGCACAAAATGGCCCAAAATGAGGCCTTTCAAGGCCTAAGGGGGGTCAACCACCCTCAAACAACAAAATACTCTTAATAAACAATAAAGAGAGCCTAAAAACAGAACTTTTTTGTGTTATACACTAAGCTCAAAAACGAATTTAAGACAGGTAGAAATAAGGTGCAAAAATGGGGAATAAAGGTGTTAGTTTCTTACCCTTGATGACCCCTTCACAAATGGTGCTCCAATGGCCTCCTTTAGCTTGAATCCAGTCAAGAACCTCAAGAACAAGCCCTTAGAACCCTAGTTTCAAGAGGAAGGTGAAACACTAGGTGCTTGTGTGCAATAGTATGGACTAAAACACACACAAGAGTAAATATAGAGATAGGATGTGTATGCAACTCAAACCCTAAAACCAGAGCTTCTCTCTGTGTTTTTCCCTCTCTAAAATGTCTAAAGTCTCCAACCTCTCAAGCCAAGAGCTCTCTCTCTCTCTATATGGCACTTCTTGTCTTGTAAAGCTTACAAGACAAGCCTCATAAGAGGGAGATCCCTCACTGCAATACAGCTGCCTAAAAATATCTCAAAAAGCAACTGCACAGTAACCGGCCGGCCAAATATGCCATCTTGGCCAAAAAGAGTGCCGACCGGCACTAAAAAGTGCTGACCGGCAACAAAATATGCCGGCCGACAATATACATTGCCGGTGGCAGCAAAAACCAGCCGGTGGCCTCTAGCCACTGCCGGTGATGGGTGGGGATGGTCCACAAGCCCTACCCTACCCTTCCAAGGCAAAACACAAGTGTTTGGTGCAAAACCAGACACTAAACGGTCAAGTTCGGAGATCCTGAGGCAAGGCACGCGAGCCAAGGCCTCCGAGAACTCCAAACGAACACAAACATGGATAATCACCAAGTGTTCAAATGGTGACGTCCGAGTCTTGAGGACGGTCAAAAATGGGGTGTCTACATTAGCCAATCCGACCTCGCACCTTCATGGTTTGTGGAGCTCGTGCACCATAGATAGTATGAAGCGAAATTCCTGGAGTTTCTTCATTTTCCTTGAGTTCTATCACCTCCATGTCTACATCATCATCCTCCTCATCTGAGCAACTCCCTTCAATGAGAAATAATTTTTTACACTGATGCCCTGGGCTAAACTTTTCATTGCAATTGAAACATAAACCTTTGCTTTTTCTATCATAGAGTTCAGCGTGACTAAGTCTTTTGATAGGCAAGGGACTTGAGTTAGGAATTGAAGAACGATTAGGAATTGTTTTGCGTGCCTCCGGTTGAACAATCCGACGATTGGAGTAACAACGCGCCTCATATAGCCTTGCTAATCCAATAGCAGCAGAGAGTGTGGTAGGTCGACTAGCTTGGACATCAGCCTTGATACTTTCCTTCAGCCCGCTTATGAAACAACCAACTTGATGCGATGGTGTCAACCTCCCTACTCGAACCAACAACTTCTCAAACTGGGCTTGATATTCTCTGACGGAACTAGTTTGTTGTAGCTTTGTTAACTCGCCAAAGAAGTCTTGAAACTGGGTAGGCCCATATCTGTTAAGTAGTCCTTGTTTAAAGTCTTCCCACGATATGATCGGAGTCTCTTCTTTCAACAATTGGTACCAAAGTTGGGCGTCATCTTCAAGGTTAAAGGATGCTAGTGGCACTCTATCAGCTTTAGGCGTTTGATGAAAATCGTAAAATTGTTCAGCCCGGCAAACCCAACTTGTCGGATCCTTGATTCCATTGAAGCATGGAAAATCAAGCTTCACCGTCTTGGGCAAATATTGAGGGGCAGAGTTGCTACGTACTTTGCGGTTGGTTCCTCCACTTCCAAGGGTTCGTCCTCCAACACTTTGATTTTGGTTATGAGAACTTTCTCCAGGGTTACGAACTTGGTTGGTCATGATGTGGTCCAACTTGGTATTCATGGCTGCGAACATCTCTTGCATCTCTTTCATCATTCTTTCCTGCCCAGTTGCTAAAGAGTTGACATCAATCTCCAATTGCCCCAACCGCTGCTCCTCCATGCCTGGCTCTAATACAAAGCTGTTATGAGCAGCTGCAACAGAGCTGGTGTTCTTGTTCTTCTGTTTACCTATTTTTGCTAGAGAGGATAGACAACAAAAACAGAGTTGCTAGGAGAGAGTTGGGAACAGGGAAATCAAAAAGGAAAGGGGTTTGCTTCGAGGGAAACCCAATCCTCCAATATCACACAAGTGTGGAATAAAATTCTGGATGATTATTTCCAGCTGAGATGAGTACAATATATAGAAAATAAAGTGAACCATTCTGCTAAAGTTCAACTGCCAATATCACACTAAAATAGGAACAAACCCACTATCTCACTACACTTGGAACAACCCAACAAAATAGGAACAACCTAACAGCTGATAAACCTGAATTTGAAATTTAAATTCTCCTAATGTCAAGTAAAGACTTATTCAACTAATTTATTACAACTGAAGTCCTGCTCTACTAGAAACATAACATTCATTCCCTTCAACTCATAAAGAATTGAGAGAATATATATTTTTATTATGAGAATTGGTCCCTACTTTGCTGTTATTTGTTCCCTCTATTATTAATGTAGAGAAGTTGAATTTTGTAATTGCATCTTTTTTCCCCTTGGAAAGGGTTCAAGCTTGATATACAGAACTTATTCTGTCCATTTCTATTTGGGTTGCCTAGGTTTGGTTGTCACTGCCAGATAAGAATGATGGTTACCAAAATTTGGAGTTCCAGACAAATCTAACTACTATGAGTTGTGAGTTATGGTTTAAGCCGGCCATGCTTATACCATAAGCTCCCCACTTTACTTCTAAACCAACCTTGTTTTGTTGGAATTAAAAAATTGTTATTTTCATATGGTTTTCTCTATTGTTGAGGCAGCAATCATTTTTGAAAATTTAAAAATATATTTTTTGGTTTTTGTTTTTGTCAAACTAGTTTCTGATTTTTTTAAAAAATTCAAAAAACAAGTTCTTAAAACTCAACCAAACTGTGGGTTGCATTTTTTTTCTTGTTTACCTCAGAAGCAGTTATCAAAACAAAATCAAATGCACTGAAAGTTAAATAGAGAAAACTTTACTTGTCGTGAAAGTGGTTGTGGTAATTGTTATAGTTAATGTTTTGGCAGCAATAATTAGAGGCTACAATAGCTGTGTTTTTATTTTATTTTAAAATTGTCTGGTCCATGGCTAGGTTCGTAATATAGAGAAATAAAACCACTGAATTGCAGTCATTTTGGTCTTGTCGATACTGGCTTGAAATATTTCTACTGTATGATTTCAGTTTATTCAGTGGAAGCAAGGCATGAACATTATGCTTGTGTTGTGGATCTTTTAGTTCGTGCTGGTCGATTTTTGGAAGCAAAGGAGCTCATTTATCAAATGCCAACGCAAGCAGGACCGAGCATTTGGGGCGCGCATTGTTAGTTGGTTGTAGGAAGCACCGGAATTTGGATGTTGCAGAGATAGCAACTGGAAAGCTCTTTGTTTTAGAACCATAGAACAGTGGAAATTATGTTTTGCTGTCAAATATGTACGCAGAAGCTGGGATGTGGGAAAAAGTAAACAATTTGAGAGCTTTATCAAAATGTCAGGGTAAGAAGAAGAATCCCGGAAGTAGTTGGATTGAGATCAATGGGAAATCTCACTTGTTTCTTGGAGGAGATAAATCTCACCCGCAATCAAAGGAAATTCGCTTGTTATTGGAGGCCTTGCCTGAGAAAATAAAGGCAACTGGGTACATACCAGATACTAGTTTTTTGCTGCATGGTGTTGGTGAAGAAGAGAAAGAATGTAACTTAAAGATTCATAGTGAGAAGCTGGCGATTGCATTTGGGCTTCTTAACACAAGCCCAGATACAGTTCTTAGGGTGACAAAAAACCTTTGAACCTGTGGTGACTGCCACACGGCTATAAAATTCATTTCGAAAATCTATAGGCGGGATATCATTGTAAGAGATGTGAATTGTTTCCATCATTTGAATTGAAGGGTCTTGTTCTTGTGGAGACTATTGGTGATTAAAAGAGCTGTTATTTTCGAAAGGGGTTTTCTCTAAGATAGTATTGAGTTCTCACTCCTATACTATATTTTGTGGTAAACCATGATAAGTAATCATGTTTGTCACAAATGTTTTGAAAATGTTTTTATTGGCATATATATTTCATATCATATGAATCATCTCATCCATACTTTGTTTTGTCTTGTTAGTATTATGATAGGAGTGCTGCTAATAGAAGAGAAGCTGCGAGTTAGCAAGTAGTTGGAAGTCGGTTAGATTAGCTAGCAGTCAAGTTCTGTTTTGCATATTAATCACTTTGTTTTGGATGTTAGTTACCAATACGGGCAGGAATAGTAGTTAGAAGAGAAGATATTGTATAAATAGAGATCAGGAAGAGGGTGTGGATTGTTTTCTGAAACTTGCATCTTCATTTTTTCTTCATGGATAAAACTTTCCAGCTGAAGGCATTGCTTTACTGATTTCTTCTCCGATTGCTTCATTTCCTTCTCAAATTCTTCTGTAAATCTGTGTTATATTACAGCAGGGTATAATTGGAACTACTTTTAGCAGCATCATACTATAATCCAAATTTACACCAGTTACAACTGCTTTTTTTCAGAGGTCTAAAACCCAAGTATCCCGTTCTTATTACAAAGTGTAATACTACTATTATTGCATGGATTAAATACACTGTTGATCCCCAAGTATGCGCTCTGTTTCATTTTGGTCTCTAATGTTTTAGTTGTGTCAATTTGATCTCCAATTTATGTTTAAATGTCGATAAAAATTGATTAAGTTGATAATCAAATTGACACAATTGAAATATTATGAATCAAAATAACACGAAACGCATACTTTGGAGATCAACAGTGTATCACTTGACCTGTTGAAAGGCTTGATCATTCGAGTAGCCCTTTTTTCTTGAGGGCGAAGAGGGAGATAGAAAATAAAACAAAAAAACCAACAACCATCCCAATTAGGCATTCATCAAATTGGAGGGGGACTCCGTTGAGAGTGATAGGGATGTCGATGTTCATGCTGAGAACATTTCCAATCACATCGCTAAAATTGACAAGTACACGTGCAATACTGATGACAACCGTTAATTGCAGCATCTGGTTCTGTTTGTCATCCAATATTATGTTGGTGTAGTCTTCCGTATTGTCCACGTAATCCCGCATCTAGCATGTCCAAGAAAGAGATTGAGTGCATAAGAACAACGATAATGTTGCATATTCAGAAAAGTATTTAGAATTTGAAATGTATGAATCATATTCATTCTCAATGTAATCTATTCATATTCATTCTCAATGTAATCTATACATTATGGACTCAAATTTTGTGACTTTTTTAGGATTTTTTTCTTTTCTTTGGCTGAGTATGACTCTTGGCTATGAAAAACAACAAAAAGACTTGCCGAAACCAATGAATATTTCAGGCAGAGAATCCAAAAATAAAGGCACAGTGATGTGCACTTATTTCTCACCTAAAGGTTGGCAAGCAAAATGAAAATTTTATACATATAAATAGAGATTTTTTTTTTTTTCCAGATTTTCTTGTTAGTATATCTCGTTATCTTATATCTAATGATAAGAGAATCTAGTAAAAAATATATTAATACATAGCTTAACTTTAAAAAATAAAATAAAATAAATAAAAAACATACAGTGGATAGTTTGTTCAAAGCTCCATCAAGTTGGACAAAGTATGCTTCCAATAACATCTCCAACTCTTCAATCTTTGGCTTCTGTCTATTCCCTACTCCACTGGTACTTTTGTTGCTCCTTATCTCTTCTTCATCACTGAAAATTACAAGACTACTTTAGTCATTTTACATTAAAAAAAAAAAGAAAAAAAAAAAGGAGAAGTTATCCTGATATAATTTGCCGGGATCATATACATTTTCTCAGTTCAAAATTTCGCAATTGATACACTTCAAAATTTCACACCTTTGGTTCAGAAACTTAGTACTAAACAAAAACCCATGATATATGTTTCTCCCACTGATTGATCAAAAAAATAAAAAGCCTTTAATATATGTAACATGTTAAGTTATTACCTGTGATCTTCTAGTACGACAGTGTCATCGTCATCTATGTTACTATGTTTTGGTTTGGAATCTTCAAATTGTGGAGAAAAGAGCTTAGCAGTGAGGTACATTTCCGCCATATCCATATCATCATCCAATAAATGTTCAAGCTCATCTCTCAGCTGACAACCATAGTTGTGTATAACTCAATTAAAATGCTTATCATCAGCACATGCATCATAAATTAGAGCATTTGAAGTGTGATTTGGTAATGTTAACTGTTGTTTTTTGTTTACATAAAACAAGAGAAATATGTTTTTTAGCAAAAAACCATGTTTGGTATAGTTGTTTTCAAAACGTGTAAAAACAAAGCAAAAACCATATGTTTGATGAGTTGCTTTAGGGATAATTGGTAGAGATAGGGGTGGTTACAACGGCAATAGAACCAAGATGTACTAAAAAAGTATAAAACAATTGACCAAAATATAAGGACGGAGAAACAAAAAAATCTTGAAACAAATTTTAAAAATTAAACAAAAAAAGGTCAGTTTTCAAATTTTTTTTAAAACATAAAGGCTACCAAAGAGTATCTTTTACCTTATTGTAGACATCTCATTTTGACTGACCTTAGGATTTCGGGCGCTTGCAAACTTCTCGATGATGAAATGATAATTACTTCATCCTTAGAAATATTTGAGGTTGTTATAAGTTGATGTACTACCCCGTTTTAGCCAAAAATCATATTTTTATAAAAATGATAATTTTGCCTCGAAACCCATTTTTTACCAAAAACCTTTTTGGTCCTCAGAAAGAGAAAGAGAAGCCCGATTACACATTGATTGATAAAATTTTTCAAAATCTGTGATGCGTTTTATTAAAAACATTGATTGAGAGGCAATTTAGGCTTACTTAGGCCACAAGCAAGCCAAAGGTATGAAAACCCACACCAAGGCATGCAAGTTGACACCTGGATAACCCCATGGCACGTGTGCCCACACGTGCGTTGCGTAGCCGCATCTTGGTTGTGAGTCCGCACTTTCCTTGTGTGGCCGCACGAGCTACGTACGTCTGCACCTTCCCTCGACACCCAGAACTCGAATTTCAGCAAGGTTGTAATTCCGATTTTGTAGGGAGGCTCAAGGGGAAAGCAATGCTCAACCCTAGCACACCCCTTTGGCTTGTTTCCCAAGTCCTATAAGTCTATAAATACAACCCCTCCCTCCCTCTTTCAAGAGGTCCAAGTTTTGAGCAATTTTAGTGAGTTTTTGAATGGAAAACACTTGCCTCATTTCACCCTAAACCCTAATTCCAAAAATCACCTCACCCCACAAACTACTTTAACAACTTAAAATTCATCTAAGGCTTGAAGAACTTTAACATAATTAGAACCTAAGCTCGAGAGAGGCTTGCAAGCAAGAAAACTCGCATTTTCATCATGTGTTCTTCAATTTGTTTCAACCCAGCGAGTAAGTTATTGTTTTTATTTAATTTCAGTACATTTTTCATCATATTTTCAATATGTAATCATAGCTAAGGTGGTAGCATGGCATGATCATCATATAGGTTAGCTATTTTGTTAGTTTTTCGCTTTAATTTCACATATTTTGTTTAGTTTATTTAAACATCATGTTTAGGCTAGATTAATCATGTAATAAGCATGGATAAAAGCCCGATTTAATCATTGTATATTCTGCATATTCAATTCTTTTACTTGTCAGGTGCTTTTATTTGCATTAAATCATATTAGAACCCTTAAATCGGACTTTGGTTCATTGTTGTATGATTAGTTACATATTTAGATTCATATTTATTTTATGTAATATAGTGTCCCAGTTCTAAAACCCGACTTTAATCCACTTGTACAGATGCCCTGACACACTTTCGAGCTTGTGAATGGATGGATTGTGTTGTTGTCCCGTTGTTTAATTTTTTTTTCTCTCATTTCACTTGGTTGGGACCCTTTTTGTTGCCTTAGAACTGTCCTAGAAAACCATTACCAGCATTTGCTATTTGCATGGTTGTGCCTATGATTATATGCATTGTACCCGCGATGGTCTAGTCTCAGTGTGCGAAAAAGTTGCTTCGATCCTTATCTCCTTTCTCTCTGTGCTGTTGCAATTTCTCCTAGGGTTCTTAGGCTTCAACCTTGGCGATGGCCACTAGAGTGTAGCTTCATATATATAGTGCACTGGTGTAGGTGGTGCTTAGAGATGAACACTGATAGATACATGTACATGTACTTGAGGGGATTCACTGGGTTTTAGTATTGATGATGAAAAAATCATTGTTTTAAACAAAACATTTTGAGCGTATTATACTTATATAGCATCATGATCATCTATACTTGTGGAGTTATATTGATTTCTAAAATGTTCTCTACTAGACTATATGTTACCGCACATAGCTAAAATCTTTTTCAAGTGTTAATGACATACCCAGATAAGAGATGAGGCATTGGATATGTGCTTGAGCTAAGAGAGATAGCTCTTTTGACTTGTAGGCATTGGGCCATCTATTTTGTAGGTTGTGTGTCGTTTTTTTTTTAAGGATTACACCCTTATATATGATATAAGTCTATGGGCATTTTGATTACTCATGATGTCATTACTTGACTTTACATACTGTATATTCATTCAATTTAGATGTTGAATATAGGGTGTTTGTAACTAGAAAAAACTCATATAATGAATGACACTATTATATTCATCTACATGAGAGATACCGCTTTTATTAAGACTATTATTGCCTTTATTTTGTTATTTAATTGATTTATTCACATGGATCGGATCTTAGAAATTCGAAGTGTGACATGTAATGCATGTTGGACGCATGGTGGTGGCATCTGGGTAAGCTTCCTCCTTTTCCATAACATATGCTTGTTTGTTGCATTATTTTTCAATAAATCAAATTATGTGCCTTTTCACGCAAAATTGGATGTTTTGAATTTTTTATGGATGTTATGATCAGTTTAGATTAAAGTTTATGGCTATGTGATTTTAAAAAATCTCTTCTATTTTTAATGAAAATATGACTTTATTCTTTCGAATCTAAATTAGGTGGTGTTTATTTTATTCAAATCACGTAGTTTTAGGGTAGTGAAGGTTTTAGGGTTACTAATGAATTTTGTATGAAATAATTAATCATTATTACACTCATAAAATAAAATATTAGTAGTGGCCAATCATTTGATTGGGCATCATTCAATGACAATCCCCTTTCGTACCTTAGTTCCCTAACCTAGAATATTTGGTTATGACGGATTAAGTTTTTTGCTTAGTTTTTATTCTTAAAAGTTTCTTAATTCTTCATAATATTAAGTGACGATTCTATTGATGTGGGAAAGCGAGTTAGCACAACACGAGTGTAGAAATGCACCTTATGCTAAAAAAGGGACGGTGTCCACACTTACCCTCTCTTTAATTGGAAGAAATAATAGTAAAGCAACGCCCAAATATAAAATATATATTTCATTTTTGACAAATTCTCAACCATTGTGATTTCAAAAATGCTAGAGACCTTAAAAATTCTATCAAAAGTTTTACCAAATGTCTCACATGTGTGGGTCGCACACCCATGTGAGACATTTGGTAGAAACTTTGATAGAACTTTTGAGGTCTCTAACATTACTCTTGTGATTTTGATCTATCATTAATTATACAACCTTCCTTTATTTTTAAGCCAAAAAATCTTTTATTATTAATTACCTTTTGGACACGGCCTGTCACAGCAACCAAACGACTCTTAATAGCTCTGACACGTTGAAGATTGAGTGTACTGATACTTACTGATAACTCATCCAAAGTTGGATATGCTTCTAACTCTAGTGTGCTCGTCTGAAATAGACAATCAAATACATTCAGCAAAAATCAACCCTATTATTCATAAAATTGATTTAAATATCAGCCAATGCGTATTTTTTTTTGACCTCCCGATATCAATACATCCAATATACAAGTAGGAATGAAAATTGTTTATGTATCGGCCAGTTCACTATTTACATCGATTCATAGTTGATTGTACAATTTGCTTCACAACTAATACAATGTGACTAATGATTTTAAAAATTTACAATCGCATCACCTGATTCTTAATACATATTATACTATGACCAATAATTCATCTTCCCATACCACTATTTAAAACCTTTAAACCATTATTTTGGAGGAGGGGAGGGAGGGAAGATGCAAATATATGTTGGATTTCCTTGGTTGCCAAATAAATCATCATTGATACACATTTAAAAATAATAATAATTCTTATTTATAAAAAAAAAAATCACATACCTCTGATTCAAGACACCTACAAACAAACTTTAGGCAGATTTCAAGCACTCTGAACTCAAAAGGTGGTACCTTTGAGCTGCCCACTTTTGATGATGTGTTGAATGAAATTTTAGGACTGTTGTTGTCACTTGCTTCTTGTGGCACCCCCACCTTAGATGGTAATGGTGAGTCTTCTATTGTCTTTTCACTTCCATCAATCCCCTTTGCAATGAAAAAAGACTATCAATTTTACTTACATTTTTAAACTGATCATCAATCCTAAGAATGTACTTAGATTCCCATACACAAACAAAAATTTTCAGTCCCTTTAGAAGCATATTTGTATATGAATTATTGCTTTCAACCACCATTAAGAAATATATATAATCAGTTGTTATATATATTAGTTGAATCCACTTACAAAGCGATCAATGTACAAAAATGTATATATATATATAATAGAAATGGATATAGAAAGCACAATGACTCCACTAGTCAGATGATGGTTAACTGATTTTCATAGACTATATCTACTGTTTGACTTGTTGTAATTTTTGTATTCATTTATAATATATACATATATATATATTATGTGTTCATACGCTAATTATTTATAAAAATTTACTTATTTCAAATAAGTATTATTTATTTATTAAATATTTCCCTTGAAGTAAAGGCATGTAATCTTAAGTATCAATATTTTATTTTCTAACATTCAACAGAACAACATTAGCAAAAACCAAAACAGTTTTGTTTATAAATCTACAGGAACTCAATAAAGGCAAAACTCCCTACAAATATCATATTGATGCACCAAAACACTAGTAACCATATTATATATTTAAAAAAAGAAGATTCCTCACAAAAGAAAGTATGTTTTAATTTTTTAGTTTAAAACAAAATACTTACAGTCTTGCTTGGAGTATCAACATTACAAAGTTTGTGCTCAAGTTCTTGAACAAAAGGAGCTACACCAGGATCCTTGGGATTAAGAACAAGCATTTCATTTGCAGTGATGATAGCTTTGATATGCTCCAAGTTCACCACAATTGCCCTCTCTCTCCCAAGTATGGTAGATGGGTACAAAAGCGTAGGATCAAGAATCCTCAAATCACGCGCAGGAATCCCTGTCCTGCGCATGATTGAATGCTTCCCAACCTCTTCGATCCGCGACTCCCCAAATTGCGAAACCACGAGCCACGGCTTCGTCACGACACCCTTTGGTCGCCTTGAAATGATCTCCTTATTGGAATCCTCCATTGTTGTGATCGTTTCTCGGTTTTTGGTGTTTGAAAGGTTGAATTTTGGAGTTCAGTTAGGTGGTGTAAAGAAATAAATGATAGCATGATTCAACTACACAATATGTAATGAGATAAAACCTATGTTTTGGTTTTAAAAAACACTTTTGAAATTATGTAATTGACTTTGGTAGTTTATTAGTTGTAGGATAAGGGGATTTAAGCTTTGTTTTTGTGAATGTTTTTTTATCTACGGCGGCAAAGTTTGTTAATTAGGGATGATTACAACTTGCGGGGTCCCAAGTGATGTTGTCTTTAGCATGCTATGGCAAGTAGGTATAGTTGCCTAATAACAATATATATATAGAGAACTTACTATTACATCATATGTTTTCTTAAAGAAATGTTATGTATTTAAAAATAATAATAATTAGACAAATATTAAAATTTTAAATTGTGTGGTGTAAATTTAAAGTTGATATGAATGTTGCACTCAAAATGAATTAAGAAGAAATTACAGTTTAGTGAAATTTTTAAAAATTAATTACTGATTGATGAAAAAATTTATCACTTTATACTTTAATGCTTGTAAAATTTATCATTAATCTGTAAATATTTTTTTAAACATATATTGATATGTAATTTTCCAATAAATTAGTCTACGCTTTGGATGTGTGTGGTAGTTTGACTTCTTGCAACCCCATTTGAGTATTTTGTTGTTATATATTTACTTCTGATAATAAAAAATAAAATAAAACACACACAATTGTACAACAGTGTTAGGGCCCAGTGAGGGTGATCCTTAGCACCTCCACCTCCATGTAGGGGGCTGTGTGACTAATGATTTTAAAAATTTACAATCACATCACCTGATTCTTAATAATTGAAATTTGATTCGGAACGAATAAAATTAGAATAATTAAGCATTTTTGCACTATTGTAAGTCAAGTTTAACTAAATTGTTTTTGTTCATTCAGCTAACAAATGAGTGGTTGAAGTAAAGGAGTTAGCAAATAAAATATTGATATGTTTTGAGAAGATGGTCAAAAGTTAGTTTTTTAATTTTTTTTATATTTTAAAATGCATAAAAAATGTGAGATATAATGTGATAAAAAATAGATTAAAAGTTAGAAAGTGACTTTTAACTCACTTTCCAAACTACCCTATCAAGTGAATAGCTTTAAATTTTCATATTTGCATGAATAGCTTTAAATTTTCATATTTGCATTAACTAGGACAACATTAAAAAATCCGAATTATCTCTTAGTCCAAATTTTGGGGTAAGGGACAAATGTATTTTGGCCTCGGTGTTTCAGTTCCAGGTGGTGTTACGACCAGGAATTTATTTGGGGGCGCCCATGGCATTTTCGGGTAGGTCAAAAAAATGCATTATTTCAATCATTAGTTGATAAGATTCATCGAAAACTGCAGGGCTGGAAATGTTCTTTACTAAGTTTTGCCGGTCGTTGTGTATTGGTTAAGCATGTGCTTCAAGCAATACCCATTTATCTGTTGTCGGTATTCAAAATGCCCAGTTTCGTGGTCAAGAAAATTAAGTCCATCACTCGTCAATTTTTGTGACAATCCGATAAAGGGCATAGTGTGTTCTGGAAAAATTGGGCTAGTTCCTAAACAATGTGGTGGGCTTGAGTTTAGAGACTTGGGATGTTTCAATCAAGCTTTGCTTGCTAAACAAGCTTGGCGTCTAATAACGAACCCTACGTCTTTGATAGCTAAAGTCCTGCTGGGTAAGTATTGTCCTAATTCAGATTTCTTGGCATTTAGCTGCCCAAGACAGTCTTCATGGGGCTGGCAAAGTATAATATGGGGACGAGAGTTGTTAAAAAGGGGATTATGCGGAGGGTTGGTGATGGTCTATCAATCAACCCATTTGAGGACCCTTGGATACCAGAGGAGGGGGGGCTAATCCAGTGCAAGGATTGGGACTGTCAAAATATCTGCCTAATTTTACCGTAAGCAATTTGATTGAAAAGAGGTACAATTGTTGGAGGCTTAATTTGCTTAATTGGTTATTCCCATAGAATATAATCCCACTGATTTTAGGGATTTATATTCCAGTGGTCTCTTGTCCGGACAAGCTTGTATGGACCAAAAGCAAAAATGGAGAGTATTCTGTTAAGTCAGGCTATTGGGCTGCAATTAGACTGGGGCAAGTAGATCCTAATGGGGGTAACGGGTCTGATGTCTTCGTGTGGAAAAGGCTGTGGAAGACTAATATTCCATCTAAAATGGGTTCTATTTCTATGGAAATGTCTTCATAATATAGTCACAGTGAGATGGCAGCTTAGGAGAAGAGGGATATTGCTTCATAATATAGTCCCAGTGTGCAAGGTGTGGTATTGCTGAGGAAACTTTAGAGCACCTTTTCTTTGAGTGTCTGTGGTCGCAGAGTGTGTACTTTAGGATTGGACTTCTCATGTTTTCTACATGGTGGTTGGAGTGGGTAAGGAGTGTTAAGGAGACCGATATAATCATTCAGTCTATTGCCATTTTATGGGCAATATGGGGGCAACGTAATAGGCTAGTTTTTATACAGGAACAATTGTCCCTAGATGAAACTTTATGCTTGGCAAATGCCCTCCAGTTACAATGGGGTACTAGTAGCAGGCAACCTCTAGTTTCTGAGGATGGTTTAACCGTATGTAATGGTGTCATGCCTGAGCAGCATTCTCCTGCTAATTATTGTATTCTAGCTAATCATCTTGTGGCAACTTCTGATTTTCAGTTATACATTTGTGTTGTGGATAGAGCTTGCACAGCAGTGGCGCAGCAGCCTTGGCTTGGGTCTGCTATGATGATCAGCAACAAAAAGCGTATCAGCAAGTAGTTTCCATTCATCTGTCGTCTCCCCTTCTTGCGGAAGCACGGGCACTCCTGGCGGCTGCTAAGTGGGCTGCCAACATGAATATCAAATGCCTCATTCTCTTTACTGACTGCAAGGTGCTTGTAGAGAGTTTTGTACAATCTTGCAAGCTGGACTGGGAGATGGATCTAATTATCCAAGATATGCGGTCTTTAAGTAAATGTTTTGAATTTCCATGTATAATTAAGGTAGCCAGGCAAGTAGTTGAACCTGCTCATCAGCTAGCTAAATCTGTAAACTCTTTATATTTATCTATACTAATATTATATAAAGTGTGTAACCGTTTCATTCAAAATATTATCGGTTCGAACTCAGTAATTACCATTGACAAAAAAGTAAAAATTATTGCTTTCAAGAAGAAAGAATGGCAATTCACAAAAAAGGAAAAAGGAAATGGGGTGAGAGAGGCTCGAACTCTCGACCTCAGGATAACTCAGAAGCTATGAGACCTACGCGCTAGCCAACTGCGCCACCACCCCTTTGTTCTTGGTTATTTTTAAAATACTATTATCTTTATAATAGTAGGTGTCGCCACGTGCCCAATCCCCCTCCGAGCTTAGCCCAACCTGAGGCTAAAATTTTGTGCCAATTAGCTTTCGTTTGGCTGGTCAGGTTTGTTGGTTTTTTAATTATTTTAGTTAAAAATAAATAAAATATATTTTTTAATTTAATAAGATGAAATATGATATTTAATTCATAATCATTTCATTTTTTCTATCACAGAAGTCGAAAAAAGTCAAAAAGTCTATTCCAAATGAGACTTTTTAACCCCGGACTAAAATAGCAAAAAAGTTTAAAAAGTTAAAAAATCAACCCACGTCCCAAACGAAACAATACTATTTGAATTGGGTTTAGGATAAAAAAAAATTAATCAATATGTTTGTTTTCAATTTTTTGAAAACACTTTTCAAAAATTTTTACTTTTTTATTTTTCCTATTTTTTTATTTTACTGAATTTTTTAATATTGTAAGCAAATTTTTTAATTTTTAGACACACCTACCATAAATACACTTAAAAAGTATAATTTTTGTGAAAAAAATCTTTAAAAATTTTACTAAATGCAAAAAATATACAAAAATTTAGTATATTTTTCATATTTTTGTGTGTTTATTAATTTTTTAAAATATTTTTTCACAAATATTTTATTTTTTAGATACATCTAAGTAAAGTACATATAAAAAAGTTTAAAAAATGCTTAAAATTTTAAAAATATTCACTAAAAATAAAAAAATACAAAAAACAAAAAAATTCAAAAAACTAAAATCAAACACAGTGAATATAGCCCATCTTGACCGACCCGAGTCATTTATAAAATAATAATTGTAATTTTATATTATGTTAATTATAAAATAAAGTAAAAAAAAAATTTATAGAAGACCAAATATACATATAATTCTTATGAAGGCTTATATTAAAATATTTATCTGAAAAAATAAATGGTAAGTATAATTTGAAATATAAAACTAAATATAAATGTGATTGATGAAAGAGTTATTGATATTCGATCAATGTGATTATTTAAAAGTATATTCTACTCAATTTTTTTTTAAATATGAACAATTTATATTATCAAATTAAGTCATGAAACAAACCCAATAAGGTGCGCAATAGTTGATGTTGTACATGATGTGCAACAGCAACCCAACTCCCTTATTTGTGAAATTATTGTATCCCATAGGGGTGTGGGATACAAAATGGTAGGATGTCTCCTCCTCCATATTAGAAGGTAAAATTATTTTTTTGACCCTTTAGATTATTGTACTTAATAAAATAAAATTTAAAAACGTCAACTAAAAATTAAAATAAATTTATTTAATTTTTATTGATGTTCTATTTATTTAATTTTTAAAAAATTTTAGCCAAAAAAATAAAACATAATTTATAATTCACATTTATTATTTATATTATTTAGTTAACAATTCAAAATGATAAAATAGTCTTTTAAACATTTAGGAGCGTTTGGTAGAGTTTTTTAAATATGATTTGAGAGTATGAGTTATATTTTGAGTTTGTGAGTTTTGAAATTATGATTTGAGTGTATAAAATTTGTTTGGTAAATGAGTTTTGAATTGAGTAAGAATTTTTTGATGTTACATATGATATTTGATACAAAAACTTACAACTCATAACCAAACACATAACTCAAAAATTTATGAAAAGCTCATAAATTTTTTTAAAAAAATTTCAAAAATATTGTTTTATTAAAAATATATAATAAAAA